TAGATTCTCAGATTTTCATAATTGCGATGTCGGTTTGTTAAGTATTAAATAATCCATTAAATTATATACACAAGTTTAATTTTCCAAATAAGTGATTTATTAACTAGAAAATTTAATGTCATGTTTGATAAATATTGTAGAATAATAATAATTGACTGTAACAATGTCATAAAAATATTAAATATGACTTATTGTAGAGAAGTTACAACTGTCATTGAACAGTAACTGTACAAGCAACTACTAAATTTGATATTCCCTATTTGTACTTTCTAATTTAATCTTTTATTTGAATTTAAAGACCCATTGCCACTTACCGTGATGCACGCGGTCACAGATGAATTTCGTGGTCCATGAAATTCAAAGATTCAAATATTGAATAACAACGTCATATYAAATCCTTTTCCTACATAGCACTAAGGCACAATAATGATTCTTTTACATTCTTTTAAGAGTTTATTCAAAAGGTTAGAATTGTTTTTTCAGTGGTGACATGATTCAAAATGTAAACAAATTGTGATGCATCACRGTAMGTGGCAATGGGTCTTTAAAAGTGAATAACATATTTGAATAAAGAAACACAATGTCTATGAACTGCAACATWAACATGGACCATTAAAAGATGAGATACAAAGATACAAACAATATTATTTCTTCCTTCTTTTCGTTTGACTCTTGAATTTATCTTTTGAGGCGTTCACTGAAAACAAAGTTATTTATATCACAGTTTATTTGTATTTTTGTGGAGCTGAGCAAGTATAATTATTATTAACACTCATAATAATTCGAAAAATTAAAATTACCAAACTTACAGTGTAACGTGAAATAATTATTTTTTCCTTTGCCTTTTTGRTGGTGATGCTGTAGACACTGGTTGACCATTCTTCCTAATTTCATATTCTTCATTGTGCTTGGCGCTGAAACAAAGACAACAGGCGTGAAATATCAGTGGTAAATTTTTTTCAGAAAAAGCGCATCCTGTGGGTGTGATATGGATAATTTCTGGAACTACACATCATAATATACTAATATATAGAGGATATTACATGGGCGCGCGGAGATACGAAATTTATCTTCGAGTGTTGAAAAGATCTCTCATAAACCATAGCACTGTATTTTTTTTCAAAACAATTGAATTTTATTGTAGAAAACATCCCAAATACAAAGTGCAACTCAACATAAAAGCGAGAATTTATAAATACAGTCTTTAATAAACAAACCCAAATCAAGTTCAACTCTAGACTGTCATCCTCGCTGGGTTGTTGGTTCATATTCCTCAACGTTTTTCTTTCTGACTGATAGCAAAAATCTGGACAAATACRAGTCGAGTTCTTGAGGAAAAATCTCTTCAAACRGTCGAGTCTCCTTCTCAGTTGTGAGAAATAACTGAATGAGCGACAAGTCGTTCTTTGTCTTTTTTTTAGTGTTTGCATTTTCCTCCTCCTCGATAAAATCTATGACGTCTTGTAAATCAAATGTGACAAACCTTTCAGCCATGTTTTTGAACTTAATTTTCTATAATTTTAACAAAATTATCGATCGAGTGAGCAATCTTTGCAACCACATACGAGACAAAGCTGCCGACCGTCGTGATTTTCCCGCGCCTGTGAGAGCAATGACGTCACCGAATACTAAAAACTGATTGGTTATAATTTTACATGTGAAAATTATGGTATTTTTACATGTTTTGAAATTTCTCAGTTGTAGAAATCTTTGTAAACAACTATAGTTTATACAATAAACTGCAATATACTGGTTAAAAATATTCAGTTAGGAATGGCCATTATTATTAATAATTTTAAACCGCCATTGGAAATTGAATAGTAGAAATGATTAATTCTTTACGAGGGAGATATATTAAAGATAAAGTTGAGACTTACAATATTGTACCATCCTGTTTGAAAGAATTTCTGTATGATGGCAAACTTATGCCCAATGGAACCAATTTCTCTCAAAATTGCAGGCACAGTTCAACATTTTCAATGCTTGGGGGCTCAGATTTCATGAAGAAGTATATTTATGAAAAGAACAAAGTAAATAAACTTAACTGTAGAACTATAGACATTTTTATAATTATTGAAGATTCACATTTTCTTTTCAAATACATTAGTTTAATAATCACAATTTGTGAATATTTATTAACTAAATATAAGTATATTTAGTTATTTATATTAAATTTATAATTATACAACTTTTCATTAATCCCATATAGGTAACTGTCCAATTATTTTCTTAATTGGACAGGTCTTGTTGATATGGGATTAATTAGGCAGCATGCCATGAATTTAGTTCGGCACGTGTTTAAAACGGCGTTTGCCGCAAAGTCGCTCCAGAGTCGTAATGTCCGACTTGGCTTGTCGAACTTATGCTGGACTCGAACCTATTCAATGGGGTCGTTCTCAATTGCTGCAAACTTCGTACTAGGCTTGAGCCTATTTCAAATGTAATAGGTTCGACTRAATTAAGCTCATGGTTAGTTCGACGTTTGCCCTGGGCCTTAATCACAAAAAATGCAAAGTTATTGACTCACATTGTTGCTTGATTCTGCAATGGATTTAGCAATTCTTAGAGCCATGACTCCCACAACACTGTCAATTCGTCTTTCACGAAATTGAAGTTCTTTTAAAACTGGCTMATCTTCATCATCATCTTCATCGTTATCATCATTATCATCCGGTTGAGAAAGGTAGGATTCACCAAGTTCACTAACTCCATCAAATTCATCTTTGTGGGTGTTATGGRCGCGATCAGTCATTGGTATTTCAGGAGTAGCTTCCTCTTCATTATTGTCATCATTCCTCGTGTCCATATTGGTGGTTAGCTTCATTTTCAWTATTACCAGTAGAGTTTGCTTCATTCGTCATTTCCAACATGAGTTGGATTGGAGCAGCAAGTCTGAGTACTTGTGCCTTGCCCCTTGAATGCAAACCTAAGCTCTAGAGAAATATTGTTTATAGTATATCATGAAAATATAAATTATATCATGAAAATATAAATTATATCATGAAAAAAAATAAAAAAATAAAAAAATGAATTTGTATACAATGCTTTCAATTACAGGATGCATAAAACTGCTAAAAATATTAACCTGAGGGTGAATTATTTATTCTGAAAAAAAARCGTCCTTTTTTTCATGAGGGTAGCACTTAATAGCCAGTGGCTAACAAACCTGTGGCCCTCATTCCRTGATCGAATTGGAATTTAGGAGTTGATTTTTGCGAAGGGAGGAAAACCGGAGAACCCGGAAAACCCTCGAAGCACAGCAGAGAACCAACAAACAACTCTACTCATATACCACACCGAACCCGGCGGGACTCGAACTCKGGTAATCTCATCATGCAATTCAAGTTGTCAAAAGACTGTTGGGCATCAGGTGATATCAAATTCACGTCTTTTGACCTATGGATTTACATAAAACCATTAAGGTTGAATCAAAGGCAAAGCAGGAATCATTTTATGTATGTGGGTAGACCATCCATGCATGCAGCAGACTAATGCACTCTCAGCTGCAATAATWAGTATAGCCATGAACTTGATCAGCTTTAGAAGAAATAGTTTGCAACAATTCTTGATTCAAATTAAGGCATATTCAAACTTGACATAAAATGGGATTCCTTTTTTCAGGGTTTGTGCTAGGTTCCCAAGAAATTATTCAAGGAGTTTTCAAGGAGTATTCAAGGACCAAAATGACATTTTCCAAAGAGTAACTCTTAAGAGGGTTTCATTTTGGTATTAAAAAATATGAAGAAAATGCCAATACTAATCGAGATGTGCACATTTTTTCATGGACAATTTTTTTCAAGGAGTATTCAAGGACATTTCTACTTTTTTTCTATTTTCAAGGAGTTTTAAGTGCCCTTGAAAATGCATTTTAAATTCCAACATTTTTCAAGGAGTTCAAGGACCTGCACGAACCCTGTTTTTTCTTTGAATAAGGGAAATAGGCCTATTGCAGTGTTTGAGTATATATTAAAGTATTCAATAAAGGTTTGGTTATGTACTAACATATATAGGGTGTATTGACCAGTTTGATCTACCAAAATCCTTTCAACACTTCCTTTTTTGAAAATTTATTACCACTTTTTGTGGAAATGTGTAGGGGAGGGGAGCGTGGTTTGTCACCACAGGAAGCCCGCGAACGACAACAATTGTTTGATATCAGTCCCTTTTGTTAGGAGAGAGTTCAAATTTTAATAAAAAAGAAAAATGTAAAACGTATTAATTGTGATAATGTATATTTTACAGGTAGTAGCATTAAAATGAGACCACATCATCCAAAATATAAATGTTTTCAAGTCTTACCTTAACTGTTTTAACTTTGTTTTCCGCAGACAAAGTATACATTGATTCGCCCAGCTCATACAGGTTTGTTAAGAAGTCAATTACAAAAGTAAAATGTCAATGTTAAGAAATGATGGATATCAAATTCCAGGAAAATTGAAGAAACCTGAAGAAGCCTTGCGTCCCAAATTGAAAGGTTTCTTAATTGAATTTATACTATACCTGCTTTTATCTGTACAATACTGATTATCAGTTTATTCCAAGTTATTTTTGCGTGTACAGATCATGAAGAGTTTTGGTCTTACAGAAAATGTAGTGACTTACGAAAAAATGTTTAAAATTTACCTTAAACATCTTCAAGTTTCTATCTTTTTCTGTTTTTTACTTCTTCATTTTATCTTTGCATACCAAACAAGGTATTTCCAACATTGTCTGATCAGCCTTCAGCAAAATAAGTGGGTTTTTACCCT